ACAGCAAACTGGTTGATCCACTATGAGAAGGTGCTATTTATAAGACTGAGCTGAATACAGCACTTCAAACTGAATAATTCTTTCAGATGAAAGACGAAACGTTTCTACAATTTATTTTTATTTTTTGAATGTCTAGAGGACCAGATTTAACTTTTTTTTTTAGATTTTTCTACCTGGATTAACCTGTCACATCATTTACCCATAATACATTGCAACATAAATGAAATGGCAACGTCCGTGTACCAATACTTAAAAAAATCATAAAAACTAAACAGCCTACAGTATTTTTATGGTCTCGATTTTATAGATAGTATAGAAATAGATATTTTTTTATGATATAACATATTGTTCCAACTAGTCGGAAGAGATCCCTTTAAAAGTTTAATTTATATCTGTCCGTTGGTTCACGAGATATTTTGCTAATAGACAGACTGACAGACAAATGAAAGCATGCACAATATTTAGCCACAAGAATGTTTGAATATGGTGTGAAAATGTTTCATTTTGACCACTGACATATACAAATGTGCTTTTTCAAGATTTACCTGTCAGGGTTTGGTGGACAGGAACGAACCCAGTAGTGCAGACAGGACTCAACTCGGCAGATTAAAAAACTAAATACTTTAATGGTGAATAGAATGACAAAATAAACAGCTGACGTGGCAGCAACACTTACATAAACTAGAAGACTCAGGAGGGATACTCAGACGGGACTCAGGAAGCTCAGGAAAACTCAGGAGACACAGGAGAACACTGAAGACCCAACGAATACGACGCGACGAGGAACAAGACAGAACAGACAGCTTTTATACAAGGACAAAACGAGACGTGATTACAAACAGCTGTGACAAGACAAGGGTGACACCAATTAAATTGAAGAGAACACACAAGGGAAACACAGACACAAACCGAGTCCACCAAATGGTACCATCCTTACAGTACCCCCCCTCAAGGACGCCTCCAGGCGTCCCCAAGAAACCCCCCTCCCGAAGGACTTGGGCGGGTGGAGGGCGGCACTGCAAGGGTGGAGGGCCAGAGGAAACACAAGGAACACAAGGAACTGACAAAAACTAAGGCAAAACACGAGCAGAAAAACACAAGAGATCTAAGCGGTCAAGAGACCGTCCCTAAAGTCATTGTTCCGGGGGGCGGCCGGGAGGCCGTCCATCACGGGACCAACGTTCCGGGGGGCGGCCGGGAGGCCGTCCATCACGGGACCAACGCTCCGGGGGGCGGCCGGGAGGCCGTCCAACACATAGGACCTTGGAGGCCGCAGCAGGCGGCGATGACCACTTGGAGGCCGCGTCCGGCGGCGTAGACGACTTGGAGGCCGCGTCC